CTGTATGATCGTGCATGCTACTGTCCAAAATGAAGCCAAGTCGCTCACACCAGCACGACCAAAGTAGCACCCATGTTCCATCGAAGTCAAAAGTCAAGGCTTTCAGAATTCAAGTACTTCGTGCCTTTGACGAATCTTGGAACAAAAGCCTTAAAGATCAAGTTGAAGATTCAAGTTTCAAAAGTGGAACGACCATTCTTTGTGGTGGAACGACTGTTCTCCATGGTAGAATGACCATTCACACTCAAAGATTGTTCATGGTTAAACGTAGAGTTAGGCAAAAAGCATGGGCCTAAAGGGCCCGAGCCCAAGGACTGGTCCTTGTAAGACCAGTCTCGGGCTCTGAGGAGGGGTGATTCGGCCTAGGTCGGGCTAATTTTAGAATACCCTTATCAAATAACCAAAACCCCTTGACAAATAACCAAAACACCCTATAATATAAAAAATTACAAATCACTCCCTGATAAATTATGAAAACCCTCTTACATAATTATTATTACCCCCCAAATATATAAAAAATTAGGGGGCTAAATAGATATTTACCAGGTCTGCATAGGACCGATCCTATACAGGCTAGGCTTGGGACTGGTCCGAGCCCTAACAAAAGTGATGGGCCCAGAACCGATCCCAGCCAATTTGGGCCTGTTTGGGATTGGTCCTTCCGCTCGGGCCTAACTTTGCCCACTGCTAGCTGAACGTCAATGCTCCAAGTAGTCGTTCATGCTACTAGAATTTTTATGGATTTTAAGGAGCCAATGGTTAGATCATTCCTCATGGTAGAACAACCATTTGCGGTGATGGTACGATCGTTCCTTGTGTTGGAATGACCATACGAGAAACCCTAAAGTTATACGAAATGACCGTTTGCAATAATGGAATGACCATTCCTCTATGTCTGCAGGCTTTTCAAACGCGCATTAAATGTATCAACGGCTCTTTGTAACCAAGGGAGAAGTGAAACTTAAATAGAGCACTTCAATACTTAGAAAGGTAGAGAGAATATTAGAGATTCAAGTCATATCAAAGCACTCTCACATAGTACGTTGAGCTAAAAATCCAAATCAAAGCATCACTCTCTTGTATTCATTTGTAAACCTTTAAGAGTATTATTCTTATTGTGTGTTCAAGCCTAAGCTAAAAGGCAATCTTTCTCACACTTAACACTCTGTGGGCGAAATCCTATAAATCTAGAGGCAAAATCCTGTGAAAACTAGTGTAAAGGCGAAATTCGATTCTAGTCGAACTTCAAGGAGGTTGCCTTGAAGAAGTAGATGCAGGAGGCTTGTGGATAGAGCTCTGAACCACAATAAATCTCTTAGCATTTCTTCTCTCTCAACTTATTTATTACTCATAGCATACTTACTTGAAGCATCATACTCATACTCATATTTGTTGCTCATATTCATAACTCTCTCATTTATTGCTTATTATTGACTACCAATATTGTTTGAATCACTCTCATTCATTGCTTATCATTTGTCCATACTCATTTTTCAACATCATACATATTTATTGCATATCTTTGTTGGTGTTGTTTGTCCATAACTTGTTTGGGTTGGTGAAAGTTTTTCATTCTGCAAATATTTCGCAAGCTCTCAGCCAGTTACCAAAAAAAAAGTTGTAAATATTAGGGGTAAGAATAGGTAGCGGGTAGAACCGAAACCAGAACAGAACCAAAACCGAAATTGTGTGGGTAGGTTCCAGTTCCAATTTTTTGAAACTGACACTATGTGGGTCCATTTCTGATTCCTAAATGTGTAGGAACCAGAATCGGAACCTAGGATGGGAACCGATGGTGGGTACTTGGATGGGACTTGCTTGGAACCGATGGCGGGTACACGAGATAGAACCTACTTGGAACTGAGGGTGGGTACCCAAGCTGAAACCTGCTTGAAACATGGATTGAAATGGAATATCAATAAAGAATGGGGGATCTATTATAATTTTACATATAAAAAATTTTTAATGGGATTAAGACACGTGTGGGTGACGTGTGTGGATTGTGAAGGCCCCTACTTGGTTGGTGTAGATTATATTAAATAATAAATATTATATATTTTTTTTAAATTTTTTTTAAATATATATTATAATATTAAAGTTTTGATTAATTAAGTGTATAATTGGAATTAGGATCCAATTAAAAGTGTTTTAATGTTATTAAAAGTATTGTTTTTGAATAAAATAGTATATTTGATTGAACAATATTTAGTTATTTACTTCAATTATCAAGTTCTAACTTCTAAGTATATCTATAGTAAATTGGTAATTAATTAACTATATAAAATAAATTGATAAACATTACTACATTAGTACATTATTAAATGATTAAAAATTTAATTAATTATAACATTACATTATAGTAAGACAACTCATACCTCATGAGTCATGGTATATTAAGAAATGTAAGTGTTTAATTAAATATTCATAAAACATATTGATATTAATATTAAATTTTATTCTTTTGTCACAAATTCACAATTAATGGTAATTTAACTTATGGGCAAATTCCAAAACTTTATTTCCACTCTAGTAATTATAATATTATATAAATTATTTTTATCTATTCATAAATAATTAAGTATGAATCGAAGTTCAACGAGTATTGAAGATATGAAATCAGCACCTACTAATTGTGTATGAAACTTTTTTCCAAAATAATTTAATTACTAGTAATTTATTTTATTTCTTTATTAATGAAAAAGATATTATTAAAGTTTTGAGGGCATATGATTAAAACTTAAGAGAATTAAACTAGATTAGATTCATTAATTATTTGATTAATTAAGTATATAATTGGAATTATGATCCAATTAAAAGTGTTTTAAAGTTATTAAAAGAATTATTTTTGAATAAAATAATATATTTGATTAAATAATATTTAATTATTTACTTCAATTAACAAGTTCTAAGTATATTTATAGTAAATTAGTAATTAATTAATTATATATGATAAATTGACAGACAATAGTACATTACTTAATTAAATGATTAGAAATAGAATTAATTATAATATTACATTATAATATAGAAATCATAAAACAAACTTACCGTTGGAGTCATACTAATTATTTAACTAAAGATTCATAAATCATATTAATATTAATATTTAATTTTATTCTTTTGTCACAAATTCACAATTAATGTTAATTTAACTTATGGATAAATTCAAAAACTTCATTTTCACTATAGCAATTATAATATTATATAAATTATTTTTATCTATTTATAAGTAATTATGAATTGAAATTCAACGAGTATCAAGGACAAATGGTTAGTTGTTAATTTATTAAAATACAAAAATCATAATCACCTACAAATTGTGTATGAAACTTTTTCCGAAATAATTTAATTATTAATAATTATATTTTATTTCTTTATTAAAAAATATATATATTATAATATTAAAGTTTCGAGGGCATGTGATTGAAACTTAAGAGAATTAAAATAGATTAGATTTATTAATTATTTGATTAATTAAGTGTACAATTGGAATTAAGATCTAATTAAAAAAAAAAAAAAAAGATATTACATGTGCTTTGTTGTTTGCTTTAGTTGTTCTCTCATTTTTCTTTTTCTTATTTCAATAATTGTTTGTGTTTTGGTTTTAATTGAGAAATTTTATGTGAATTATGATGAATTAATTGAATTCAAGTGTTTCCTAGATATTAGAGGATTTGTGAGTCACATTGGACACAAATGAATGAGTAATGGAAGTTGAAAACTACTAAATACATGTTTTCTTAAATTGTCAGGGGTGTATTTGTAAAATTTTAAGATGTGTTTGTCATTTTTTAAACTAACAGAGGGGTGATTGATTTTTATAAGATACTCGAGTTAGGAATTAGAACCTAAATTCCAAGAATCAAAAAACTGGAATCGATCGGTTCCGATTCTGATTCCAGTTCTACCGAAAATCGCAGGGTATATGGAACCGCTCACCCCTTAAATATACATTTTATTTTAAAAGAAGATCGTTAAGTAAAATAATTTGAGAAGAAAACCAATAAAAGGTTGAGACGTGCTAAATAAAAGAAAAATAATCAAAAACTAAAAAAGTGGCTAATCTCGAGTCTCCGATTTAATATGCTCTAGACATTTTGTGGCTTAAAAATCTTCTTTTTTGGACATCATTGTGTATGTATAATAGTGAAATAGGTAAAATTGTTGGCTTGAGATACTTAAAAGTGAGTCTAATATTGTAGCATTTACCTGTACAAGAGTATCTCTAAATGACTATTTATATGACCCAAACTCTTTATTATAAACAGTCTATTCATAAAAACAAAAGTCTAACATACTCTTTATCTTTAAAATATAAATTAGAGAGTGAGTTTGACTCTCCACATTTAGAGAGTCAAATTTCACTCTCTATCCTAATTTTAATTAATAAATTACAAGTTTCTATGCATTTTATTTATTAATTCTCTCTCCTACTAAGTCTTTTTTTTAAAAATAAAGAGCATCTTTATTAAATTTAAAAATTTATTAAATTTGAATAAAAATTATATTTTTTATATTTAAAAATTAATAAAAATACTCTATAAAATAAAGAACATCATTAGAGATGCTCTAAGTACCTCAACAGCTAATTGTGGCGACTAGATTCACTGTTTTCGCAGTTTGGCTGTGTGTTTGAAGGATAAAGATGCGAAGGCAGATGTTGCTGAGGGCTATAGTCATGTGAACGCTGATGACGACGACGATATATTTAGTTCAAACAAAAGTGAATTTTAGTAAGACTACAAATTTCTTTTCTCATGTAAATGGTTATATTCCATTTTAAGTAAATATATTTCGTATGCATCTAAAAGTCCAGAATAATTCTACCCCTTCATATGTACAAGTAGAAGTAGAATTATACTTTTATAAATATAAAAATCTTCCATATCCAGAATATAAAAGAAATTGTTAAAAAATTCTTAATCCTTTCATTCGTTGAAGAAACAGATTTAATAGAAAGAAAATGAATAAAAAAGCTGGCATGCAGGGACTGATCTTACTATTAAAAACATAAGAAGGATACATTTAATTTATTAAATAAATATTAATATCACTTTACAATGAATGAACCCAAACGAATTTATGTTGATGTATGCACCGACAATTATAAAACAAAAAATTCTTTACCTATACAAGAGAACACTAGTCACCAGGAAATTCAAAAATACCAAGTTTTCTCATTCATGGTTGGTCTGGGAAAACTTTCTTCAAGAAATTGATGAAACGTTTCGCGTATAGTTTTGGTTCAACGGCCGATATCTTCAGAGGATCAAATTGCAAGGATTTATAAGCATGCTCTACTTTCTTTTTCACATTGTATTCCTGCAATATGTCAATGATGCCCATGTACAGTACGACATCATACACTTCAAAAAGTTCAACTTCCATTGAATCATCGACCTCTTCCTTGAGAAGCTTGTGATTAGCCTTCGCTGGCATGTTTACTCCTAATTGCACTCGTAACCTGCAGTATATATGCATACAAATGGCCATGACTTAATTAAATTCTACTCGATGAGCGTTGCGAAAGTTTAATGTAATAAGTGCAACTGAAATTACATGTATGAAATGTGTGGTGAGTGCACTCCATTTGGAATTAGAGTAGAGAATGTCAACAAAAATGATTTTGCACAATTGCATGCCACTATTCAAGTTGAACGAAATACCAAGGGGAGGATATGAGTTGACACAAAATTGATTGATTGAGAAATGTAGCCATTGTTAGAGAGGAATGCTGAAAAAGACGGTTGTAGTTTGACTCCAATTCATGGGTATCGAGTTTATGAGAAAAAAATGCAGTTAAAAAAACTGAAGAAATTCGGTATGTGTTTGACCCATCAAAGTTGTATTACCTATTGCTAGAATCCTAAATAGGTATAGAGGAAAAATAAGAATTTTAAAGCAAGTTATAGAACCAGCATCCCTCAAAGAATTAACACGAGAAAAAAGCCAATAAAAGCTACCAATTCATATAGAGAACTGCTTCATGAACTTCAACTTAGGTTCCAAGCTACTCATTTTTATGGCATTGCAAATTCTAATGCTAGACATTTAGCAAGGATGAAAGCAATTGGTTACCAAAAAAATATATCAAGTGTTGGATAGAGAATGTAGTAGATTATAATATCACTGACGTTTTCTTTTTGCAGACACAGATAGAGAGAAGACTTTTCTCGACACTAGGCAATTAAACAAAATGCAGAAGTTAAGTCTCATACATGAGAAATTAGAAGCAGAGAAATTACCTCCCAGTACCAGGCAGTAGGAGATCAACTTCCTTGTCACCTAATGAGAATGCTCTCAACGTACTTCCTCTAATGTGAGGACCCGGTGCAGTGCTGACAAAGCTGGGCTCATGGGTGACTAGGAGCAGGCCGCTGGGAGGAATCATGAGCTCCCCTTGTGTGCTTATACCTAGCAGAAGCAGATTTGCTTTGAAATTAAAGTCATGGTAGACCGAAAACAGTCCCAAGTACATTTATTTTTACTAGACACACACCACAAACTCACAATTAAAGAATATTACAAGTTATTATGGAACAAGTATGTAACGATGTCTCCTTTGCTTATGATGTAGTCTCTTTCTCACTCCAGAAACACCTCCTATAGTTTCTTTAGACTCCTTTGAATGATCACCAACTTACTCTCATATGTATATATAATGAGATAAATGTCTGAAACTGATAGTTGTTGCTGGTTGAGCAGGAGGAACTTAAAAATTTTAATTAATACCATGAGTAAATGGATAACTCCCATTTTAATGTTAACTCACACTCAGCCAAAAATGCATATGCATGAGCAGTTATTCACTGGAAATATAGTAATGTTTGTATAGAACAATGGTCAGATTAAGTTTGTTTACCAAAAATAAGATGACTGCACGTAAACAGATTTAAAAAATAACTCAGTCCCAAACTAGTTTTCTATAGAGAGAAATAAATATTAACCATGTGGTAAATGTCTAGACGATAATGCATATTTAATCTCGTTTGCGCTAATTTTGCTCCTGGAACATGGCTGATGAACAATGCAACATATAAGGAGAATATCATAACTAACCATATATAGTTCCATTTTTTTTTTTCTTCACTCCTTGATACTAGAGAAGAGGAAGTACATTGGAAGGCAAAAAAAAAAAAAAAAAAAAAAAAAAAAACTATGTGAAACGAAGAACCAATCCAAAATCCAGATATGAAGTTAACAAATTACATACAGATTCTGATTAAGCATATCTACAAGCCACGAAAAACTCATACTAAGGCAGAGTTCACGTAGCATCTCTGCACTTCATTTCTCTTATTCTTCTTAGAAAGGATAGCCAGCAAAAGAAGATTTAATGCTAATTTTCAAACAGACTTAAGAAGTGGATGAAACAATTGCTGAGTGCCACAATTCACAAAAGCAATAACAAGTCTGATCAACTGAACATTCAACCAAAATTTAATAAGTTCAATTCTTAACCAGAGACCTCCCCGCAAACGTGTTGTCTTGTTTTCAGATCTGACCAGCTCAACATATTGTCTTATTTTCTTGTAACCAACTTTACTACTATCCATGACTTATAATAACCACAACTATTTACTCCAATTATTCATTGATTGGTGCTCCTTGTGTCTTAAAAGGAAATTTTTCGAATGTCAAAATAAAACTTTGCAATTCAACTATACTCATGAAGAAGTCATAAAAATTCAGTCATACCTGACCAGCTATCCTAAATGACAGAACAGAAGACAGCCCAATTGTCCAGAACAAGCACTATAGTCACTAAAATTACAAAATCCTTTTGCAAACATAACCAGACAACAGGAAAAAGACAAGAGCTCCTTTTAGGGTAAGCATGACAAACTCATATAAATTGGTAACAAGCTGATTCTCCCTTTTCCTGTTTTCAATTAAAGCCTGGCTGAGAAGGTCAATTCACAGTTCCATAACTTGTATGTCAGATATAAGTTCAGAATCAAAGGTATTTCAGATGCCTTGGAATTAAAAAAGATTGATAAATCAGCGTTTGCCTTCCTTCACTCCGAGATACAATTCTGTCATAAAATATCTATTCACAAGATTTATTCCTCAACATGTTTTATGAAAGACTGCTTTCATATTTACAATAACATTTTACGGTGTCAGCCTAACCTCCAAGCAACACAATATAATATTTTAACACCTTAATAGGTGGACCTTAAGAAGTTTAAGAAATTATATCTCATATACTACAATTAATAAGCAGTAATTTGACCAATCATGGTCACAACTAAAGTTGGTAAACATGTTCGTACAGCACCAAAACTTCACATACTAATTTTGTGGATGCTTAAACATTATCTTCACTTCGACCGTTTAATGCTTAAAAAGGCCACCAGATAGCATAATATCACACAAATGCAACCAAGAAAAATAAACAAAACATATGAAATTAACAATATAATGTCACTGCTAAAAGAAAAAACTTATACCATCATATGCAAGTACACTCTCAGGACTGGATGTTGTACTTGGTGGTTCTAATAAGGTCTTCAGATGCTCAGGAGCTCTAAAATGTAATCCCAATAGAAGGCTATAATCAATTATTTGTTGAGATTCCAAGAACATGCAGTCTATTGCAATTTGTCTGCAATTTAAGAGCAGGTAAAAATACTACTGATAATTAGAACTATATACTTTAATGCATAATAAATGACGTACACAATGCAGTTCTTATGTTTGCTTTACACACATATTGATCCTAGTAACTTAAAATCAACCTAATATGCAGTAGATACAGCTTACTGGTAACAACAAGATTTACTTCTTACTGGAAACAACTAGCCGAAAATGAATTGTATAGGAAAATGATACAGAAGTTCAAGTGATAGTAGTGGCAATGGCATTATTAAAAAAAAAAAAAAAATTTGAAAAGAAGGCACAAGAAATAGAGGAATAGTTCCTCCTCTCCCCTTTTAATCTGAAATCTAACTTCTCCATTGAGACAAGCAGTTGGGGGGGAGAAGTGATATGAATTATCAATCATCAATGATTGAAGGATCCAAATGTCCTCAATCAAGAACACATCTAAATAAGTTTCAAAAATGACAATCATTGGAAAGAATTCTTAACTATTTTTAAGTGTTCTTATTTTCTTAAATATAACCAACTTTAGTTGACTTTTCACTGTACATCTACAAACATTTACACATGCCTCTATATATCTGCATATATATTCATAGTAAACTATATGTGTATATAACCTTTGCTATCATCAAACTCACAACACTTACTTAAAGAGAGACTCTCGCAACAATTTGTCCATGTGAAACTCAAATGATAGATCAAGATCCTTCAATGTAGTATTCTCCTTGATTTTAACTTTGTCTGTAGATCTTCCTATAGTAGATCCCTTGAGATCATAAGAGCGATGTATTCGTAATTCTGTACAAAACATATTCCCCATGACCACAAACCGTACCTAGAAACCACAAAGAAAATGAAAGTAAATACTGGTCACAGTAAAAAATTGCAAGGACGTTTACTAGAGCTCTAAGACAAAGTTAGCATTTACCTTTCTTCCACCTCTCAGTGTTATACGGTGGAGCCCGAAAAATTTAGTTATGAGGGTATTTTCATGTTCCCCTACATGAATGTAATACTTATACAGCATTTTGAGTAGGACCTGCACAGCAGAAAAATAAAATATACATGTTCATTGCTGACTCTCTTTCCTCCACTACAGATCAAATCAAGGAAAGTTTGACTAGCTGATTTTTTAACCCACATTTGGGAGAGGGGAGTTCAAACTTACATATCTAACAATCAATAAAACACAGACGATTACACAATATTATTGGCATATCCACAAATTTTGCAAAAGAAAAGAAAATGTCCCTCTTGAACGAACACAAATTCTCAAAACTTTTCAGGGTTGAACCTAACCATTTGAGACTAGCTACACAAAACTTTTATTTCACAACATTCCATCTGGGTCACTTAACCCTTTCGCATGCCTTCATCACCTCAATTCATATAACTCTTCCTCTTCCTTCCGTCCTTGAAACACCAGTAGTTAATATTAGGACTTCACACTGGTATGATTATTCTGCTAGCACAGTTAGAGCATCCAATGGCTTCCTATTAACTTCTGTCAAACTCAAAAATAAAGCATTCTCAAGCGTATTCATTTTTATGTGCATCTATTCACATCTTTTCCCTCTTCTTTTTCTAATTTATTCCTTACAGCTTTCATACGAGAGACTTCACAAATTGACAGTATAGAGTACAAAGGCAAAATGATATATCAAAGATAGCAAAAAGAAAAGAACCAATATCACCTTACATCAAATTAAGAGGAAACAGATGCACCCTAGCATTTAAAAAGATATCCAGCAATAGCACATCTTTTATAAACTTTCTTTCACTAATTCATGCCAACTAAAAATTAATTGACTTCTGATATTACGAAGCAATATGATTCTGATGAAACTAGTTGAGTTGCAGGTGTTGCACTACTAATCTGCGGTAAGAGATAAATGAACCTTCAAATGATTCTAATTGTTGTCTAAGATGACTCATCTATGATCATTAACTAGGCTAACTCAGCAAGCCATGTCCTTGAAGACAATTTTATCACTGAGCAAAATCATTGAACTTCCTTTCTCTAAAATATTCTAAATCCAGAATGGATTTAGAATTCTACTTGCTGGAAGATTCAAAATGTGATTTTTCCATACCAAATCATTCAGCTGAATTCTGTTAAGTGTACCATATGTTGTAATCACTCTCATCCACCCTCCTTGGAGAATGTGAAGCAGAAACTCAATGTATTTGAAACATGAGCAAAAAGTATAATATCATCTAACCCTGTTGATTTTGCTTCACCTTGTTTCCGATGGAAATGAATGATTAAATTCAAGCAACTGAACTGAACCAGGACTTGAAGATAGAAAATAAGAGTGACAGCTCTCTCTTGTCCACTGGCCCATAGATAATCATAATATGTCATAGTTAAAATATCACATACAGTAGGATTAATAACTTTACCTCATAACAAGAAATTTCAAAGCATATCCACAATGAAAACAGAAACATAAGGTATTATGCAATGTTTCATGTTCAAATCCTATCAAAAGCGTAAGCTCCATCATTTCATTCTCCTTTTGGAGATAGATAAATAACCACAGTGATCCATCATCTAGCTTAAAACTATATCCAGAATTGAACAGGGTATGTTTGACATCTCCAGTTCTGGTGGATTAAAATGTGCAAAGATCTAACATCTAGGAATGAATTTACATGTCTATAGAACCCCACAAACTTTCAGTTATTCCATTTTTCTTTCCCTATTTTTTGTTTAAAAGGGCAATGGGTTTGGGGAAATAGAAAGGAACATAGACAAAAAATTATATAAAAAAATTGAGAACAACCTAAATATAAGTTCAAGGTTGTATCAGAAAATAAAAAATAAAAAATCTTTACAGAAATTGGCTGATCACTAAGTTCATTAAAAAAGATAGGAATCTAAATGCACACTAGGTAGTTCAGAGACAAAAGCTACTGAAATTAATATTTAGTGCAGAGGTAATCTAGATTCAAACCTTCAGCTCAGTTCTTTTTAATGTCTTAATCACAAATCTATCATCGAGAGAAAGATAGAAGATACTGCCACTTTTTCCTGGAGAAGAAAGCTCCCTTAGACCATCGTCACCACAAATGGACATCATGTACTCTGCAGCATCTAATTTGAACATCTCCCTCAAATTCCTGAAAATAAAGTTCTATATATATGAAAAAAGTTATAGAAAGATGCAACTAATATCAAAAGCCATTAAAAAATGTCACAAGAGTTATATATTAGCAAGTACTGTACTGTATACTTAGGATATACCTATTTAGTAACAGCAAATAGAACTTGAAAGTGCAATGTGGAAAAGTTATCTATTTAAGCACAATGCATAAGTATGTATTTGTATTCACAAATAAGTAAACATTAAAATAGTCAATGGTGAAATGGGTAAAAGTGACAAAAGGGAAACAAATTGTTCCTTGGATATATTACTACATACAAATAATTAATGAGTACCTGAAGACCATAGGGCAGTAATCTTTCCAGTAGAAATCAATAGAACAATGAGAAGGTGTAAACTGGGAACCTTTTCTAGGAAAATACATCCTTATTCTAGCTCTATCTCCAAAATCGGAAGCTCGAACTTCGCGCATAGGGACTGGTGTGATTTTGCCAACCGTGTACCTGTGAACTTCGAATAAAATAATTACAGAGCCCAACTATATACTCAACAATTGAAATTTTCTTGAAAGGAAAACAAAACATGCCTTAAGTACAATGAAGAACAAAACAGTATAGCTAGCCCTTTAGATCAATGTAATGCTTCATAGATTACAAACACATATCTATCGACATCCTCCTTCTAGAAATATCTAAATTTAAATTACTAATCATGCCATTTTGCAAACAAAAATTGCACCTAGGAAGGATGATATGTAGTAGTATAAAATTGTATACTCAGAATTATTTAACATATATTGGGCGAAAAACCATTTTTTTTTTTTTTGGATTGATTCAGATGCCAACAACCATTATTTTAGTTTATTCAGCTTCAAGATCAACACAGACAAAAGAAAATTACATTTTCTCTGAAGAGATACCATTATCAGCTGAAATAAACACAAGCATTAATAACGGAAAAATAAGGTACACCAGGGGAGGAAGGGTTTCCATGTCTATCAGTTTACCTGATACCAAGCTGCAAGTTAAGCATTAGGTAATAGCTTTGATGGCCTTCGAAGATGTCCACACATGACCTCTTTTTTACCTCTTTAACTGAAAATTTACTTTGTCTTTTACCTTTACGTTGTAGTTCTGCACAATTCCTAACAATCTCTTTAATCAAAACTCCCTGCGTATACTCCCTTTCATAAACTACAGTACTGCTCTCGTGCTCCTCGCGTTGACCTTCATCTGAAGTATGCAAAAACTTGCATGGGGAGTTATTACATACAAGTCCTTTAGCAGAATCACAAAAGATAGACCTTTCATCCAATGATGTGGTTCTGTGAGAAATTCGACCTGAACTTTTTAAAATTCCACCAACTGGAATCTTCTCGGAAATGCTACGTTTGACCCTTGGCTTTGGAGTCTTTAGTTCCTTTGAATCCATTGATGAATTTTGAGACAAAATCATTTTTTCACTGTCATCATTTCCTAGTGTGCCAGAAAACATATTTACAGATGGATGTTTACTTCCAGCAGGATAGAATTTTCCTTTTCCATCCTTTAGGCCCTTACTCCATGTTCCAAAATAATAACCTCCATCAGCGAACCTATAAACTCCGGACCCATGTCTATGACCATTTAACCAAGAGCCATCATAAATATCACCATTTGCCCATTTCATAACCCCTCTACCAGACATTTTCCCACCTTTCCAGTTCCCAATATATGTGTTTCCACTATTCCAAGAGTACCTACCATTACCTTCATGTACTCCTTCCTTCCATGAACCATCATAAATATCTGAATTAGGATACCCCTTTCTTCCAACTCCATGCCGTATATTCATCCTCCAGGTCCCTCTGTAAACTGATCTGTCAGGTCCAATGAATGTGCCAAATCCATGAAGGTAACCTCCTGAGAAATCACCCTCATATTTAGCTCCTGATGACCAGACTATACATCCTTTCCCTGTCATTTTTCCTTCTTCCCAGTCACCCTCGTAGATTGTTCCATCTGACCATGTATATTTTCCCTTTCCATGGGGAAGTATTCCCTTAAAGTCACCGGAATAGCTGTCTCCATTTGAGAAGGTCTGTTCATTAATCCTGGAAAAATGTAAAATACATTTAAATCCAGAAAAAACATAAGTCTGGTAGATGTACAGATTCATTTTCTTCCTGTTAGAAGTATAGAGGGGGAGAAACAGATAAAGATTTTTGAGGATTGAACGGTGAAGATTACCTATCACTCTCCTCCATAATTACTGCATCATAAGTGATCTTGCTTCTTAAGCATTCTTAAGTCTCACTCAGATAACCCACTTAACTCAAATTCTGCGTTAAATCCAAAAGCCAAGTTCTGAAACTCTGTACATATAACATATGACCATGGAATCAAGATATGTATAATATTAGTAATTCATAACAAAAATACGGAAAAAAATTATGGTTTTGTGCATATTGCCAAAGAAGACCACTGGTTACCAGTTTGGTCGTTACTTTTCTCTTATTGGATATAGGTAACTATCATGTTCACTCGATTTCAAGAAATGTAAATTACATCATTCAACAGCCTTCCACGGGATTTATTTTCATCAATCCAATGGTTGAGTGAAATTAAATGTATGCTTGCACGAATTATAGCTCTAAAAACAATTACTAGTTAGCAAAAGTTACTTCAATCTGTGTTTTCACCTAGCATCTAAATATGCAGCTAAAAAGGACCAGTCAACAAGCATCTGAACATTTATGAGCAAGCATATATGATTTGATATTGAAAAGAAAAATAATACCACATTCAAGTAAAAGTTTTGGTGTAAGCTCAGGTGTTAGTGGCAGTCATATCTGGTATGATTACTCTACACTTAACAAAAATAAATTTACAACTCACCAAATATTTACACTATACGGTTAAATATCTAAATTTATCCTCTCTTATAAGGTCAAATTATGGCAAACCCAAAATACCTTAAAAACTGATACTTTAAACACCTAGATAGAAACATTAACCACTAAGGCACTTTAGATGTCACGATGTTTTTCAAACATGATCCAAAATATTCAGCGCACGCAGCCATAAAAAATAGCATGATGATTGAGAATCATATTTCCTGTTCATATCCTAATAACATGAATCTCATTGACATGAAATTGTGTATCAGGAACATCTTTGATCAATCTCATCAGCACAACAACTCATCTAAACCGGAAGACAATAAACTACAACACAACTGACAATGAATTTGCAGCCTAGTTAATTTCTCTTCTTCAAGAATTGAATCACAAAACATCATCCCCATGAATACAGCCTTATTTCTAATTGATCATCATTCCTCAAAGTCCTAATAATCAATTTACTAAATAATACAAGTTTACTGAATAAAAATCTAACTCACAATTGAAATCCACAGCTGATATAACAGAATCAAAATCAAACAACTATTGATTTCCATTCATTAATTCAATCATTTCCATTTCCATTGAAAACAATGACTTGTTCACAAGTAACTATTGACAAAAATCACCCCAAAAAACCATGAAATTGAATAAACTCACCTGGGGTAAGCTTAAAAACCAATCTTTCCTCAAAGAATATTATGTGCAATGAACCCAGATTGAAGAAACCAAAAATATATATACCCAGAAAGGGAAAACGGATTATTTTAATATTATAAAAATAGAAAAAGATTAAATTGAAGATTTGAAGCCGACCATGAACTACAAATCCTGGAGTTGAAACTGACACTTTAATTCTCTTTTTAGCTTTTTTTATCAGCTATTAGTTAACCATGCAAGAAAGAAAGTCACATACAAGACGAGCATAATCGGCTCTGCTTCTGCGTCTCTAATAATCTTGCCACGTTTGCAAACAACACCCACATGGGCCCCAACATCTGGCTTCATATTCCAGCTTTCAACTTCTTGCTAAACACTGGATTCTCCCCGGCAAAAGGTTAATGATGGGGAAAATTTACGAACCACCCCTAAGGTTTCAAATAGTATCACCCAAAAGCCAAAATATGAGTACTGTATATATATTTTACTAAAGAGCAAGTCTTGAAATATCAAACTTTGTTTGCAGGACAGAAATAGCCATAAAATCATGTGTTAATTAATTGTGCTCATTGGAAAATAGTCAGAATGTTTGGTATGCTTTAATGAGATTGTTAAAATATTAGACTATTGAGTCTAGTATGATTTAACATAATCTAACGTTATATGTGTTGGAGAACAAATCTTTTATTGTTTCATTATTGGTAAGTCACATGGTTTTAATCACACTTAGCATCTTGTTATTACTTTTCCAAACCTTAGTTTTAAATTACTCTACGAATAATACACTGTAACATTACCTCTTATCGAAAACGAAGCATTGACTTCATTAATCTTTAGATAATCATTGAACTATAAAAGGGTTTGAAAGAGGTAAAATTATCCTAGATTAACTCAGTAAATTTGTTATTGTATTTTTTCTTGGGGATGTGTTAATGTTTTTACATAGTAAAGTTACTTTTTACCCGAGTTATCATATTATAAATTCTTCAATTATTGGATTAGTTATTGAGCACAATTAACGATATGTTACATGGTAACTTTTTTTCTTACTTGAGCCCATCAGGTTACAGTACAATCAATTTATAAATCAATCATTGAATTATAATATTAGGCTCTAGATGAGAGAAGCGTTACATGCTTAGTTTTGTAAATTATGGGGTTTAATGCTCTTGGGTAATATATGATATGAGGGAGGTAGTATTAAAGAATTCCCTAAGATTATTAGGGGGCTAATGGTCATTGACCATTATCTGAGCGTAGTTGAAATGTTACCTAGGGTAACATAACACATTAACATGAGATAAAGTTACCTCTAAGGGGGCGTTTGGTTCAGGAATGTTAGATTATTGGGAATGTTGGATTACTAGAAAGATAGATTACCTTGAAAGATTACTGAGAATTTTTAAGAAAATGTGTTTGGTTAGTTGGTGCGTATGTTATATTAATATGTTTGGTTATGGGGAATAAATTGGTGGATATGTTATTTAAATTACTAAATTGTCTCTTTTACAAATATTAATATAATATTATTTTAATATTAATTTTTGAATAATTTCTTTTAACCCCCAATATTTCAAATTTAGTTAAAACACCCCTGCTTATATAAAACTTTAATTTATTACGAAATCACCCCGGCTTCCTGCCGTTGCCGCCTGCCGCCATCGCAGACCACCACCAAAAGTCTCTGAAAGTCCCCATCAACAACTCATCGTGACCAAGAGGCTTCGATATGGCAGTTTCCGGCCATATTGATGGCCGAAAACAGCCAGATCCCTGGCCATTATCTTCCAGAGATCTATTTCAATCGGAATAGATCTGGCCGTTAACGACCAGGTCTGTGGCCGTTATCGGCCAGATCTAACGACCAGGTCTGTGGCCGTTATCGGCCAGATCTCGCCCAGATCTGGCCGATAATGGCCAGGGATCTAGCCATTAACAGCCAAATTCATCGATCTAGCCGGAAATGGCCAGACTAGATCTGGCCTGATATGGCCGTTTTCAGCCATATGGCCGAAAACGGCCATATCAAAGCCTCCCGGAGCTTCCCACCGAAACTCGTTATTTTTAGGGACTCCGACGAGTTTTCGACGGCAGTCCGTGGTGGTTGGCCGCTGTCGGCGGTAGTGGCTGGGTGGTAGTGGTGGTGGTGGCTGAATGACAATGATGGTCTGTAAATTGTTTTAAATATAAGGACATTATTGTCCAAAATTTTAGTTAAATAAGGGTCAAATTGAAATAGGATATTAATGTAAATTTATTTTAAAATGAGGACATTATTGTCCAAAATTTTTATTAATAAGAGATAAAATTGTAACAAAAAATGATAACCCTTGTAATCTCAGAATACCTAAGAAAATTGAGATAATCAGATTACCTCCAATATTATCAATAGTAACTACTATTGGTATTTGAAAATTACCGGAATCTTATATTACTGGACAATCAAACGTGGTAATTAAGTAATATAATATGATATTACCCTAATAATCTGACATTACCGCGAACCAAACACCCCATTATATATATTACATGAATGTTTTTTTATTGTTATTATTTTGATGATTTTCTAGGTGGAGGGCTAAGATTAAGGTGTTGGGCTAGTAACATTAGCCAATTATTTATCGACATTTAAATCTTAATGTGGTCAGTCAATCACTTTGAAGATATCTCATGATGTGACCTAACCAATATCATAATAAATCTATTTAATTGGTTCAACATAGACAAATTTATGGAAATAAAGAGAAAATAAAATGTTTTATGTAAAACTTTTTTTTTTTTTTTTTTAATGACCGAATGTGTTCAAGTTAATTTACGCGTATATCTTGATTAATCTTTTGGGGTCCTGAAACCACCGATCATCCTTATTAACAATCAAATAGGAACTCGAATTCAAAATATATTAAGAATTTCTATCAAATCACTCGATCACACAGAAGTTAGTTATGTAAAACCTTTTATTAGACTAGTTTATGGATGACAATGTCTATATCCCACCTTAGATTTTCCAATTTGAGTAGGTTAGACTAGGAAAAAAAAAAAATTATTGAAATTCTTATAAAAAATTTTAAAGTTGGTTTAAAATATGAAAACACCATAAAAATTTACCCTTTTTTTTTCTCTCAAATTATACTTAAATGATGTAGCGATTTTGAAATTTTATTTTTTTCTAAAATTAATTAGAAAGTAGGTAATAATTAAAAATTAAGTATGTTAATGATTGATTAGGGTAATGCATGAGTTGTTGTATATTATATTATAAGATCCTTAAAATCTAAATAAAATTTAGATAGAAAAATGAATAAAGAAAATGAAGTTGAAAAAGAAACAGGAGCCCACACGTGATTTGATGACAGGGTAGAATAAAAGGGTGTATGTGAGTTGTAGGTGATGATTGTATATTTGAATAGAAAGAAAGAAGGTGGGTGCCACGAAGCCCACAAATTGTGGTTGATGTCACAAAATCCGACAGCTCAATTGGCGTCGGTAGATTCCTTTGTCTTTGTGCTCACATTCTCAGTTCCCATGTGAATTCTTAATTTATATATATATATTTTAAAATTATATAAAATAGCCTATTTTTGGGTCATGAAAGTGTTTTTGGAAATAATCCTATTCCAAAATTTCAATCTCTAACTACATATTTAAAGACTTTCGGTTCGGTTTTCGGTTCGGATCGGTTTTCGGATAATTTCTTCCACCCCTATTTAAAGTGATCGACAACCCACTGATAGACATTTAGGAAATTATGATTATTTGATATAATTTTTTATTTTTTATTTTGAGAAACCTATTTTTTTTTTTAAATTGCTTTTCATGAGCTCCAATTCCATTTCCAATCACAAGATCCATCAATCTTTTTTTATTTTTTTTATTTTTTATGACTAGGGTGTCTAGATCAGTTTGTACATATCTCAACTAATCGCAAAACTTATTGAACATCCTAAGGTGATTCGACATCAAGAAGTCAATAAAGGAAGTAAACTTTCTTGACCGTCAGACTAACTCCTCAGAGATGAATCCATCAATTATTCTATTCGTTGGTGACATTTTCCATTATGTTACGAATTGGATCCTACAAATTTTGTACTTTTCCTTAAAAAAGATAAATAAATAAAGATCAAAATTCTCTTTTAAATTTTAGCATTATCATATGTTTTTATTTTCTTTTATATATCATAATGCGTGTGAATAAGTTAGTAGAATAATTGGATCTTGATTCATAGGTTTGTTTTTTTTTTTTTTTTTTTTTTTTTGGGGGGGGTGGGGGGGGGGCGGCGCGGGGTGTAAAGATAAAGAGTCTACAAATTTAATTGGATTCTAAGAATAAAAAAAAAAAAAAATTATGAAAGGTGTATGAAACTTGTCAAAAATATTATTTTTTTTTTACAAATTTAAATCGTGAAAAAGTTTTATAAGATAAAAAAATATTGATAATGTTCATTAACCAATGTCCTATATGTGTGGATAATTTCAAGATTATTTAGAGGCCTTTTATGATTTACCTTTATTATTTTGTCACATTGTTCCCCATCATCTCTAATTTCATCAGATCATCCATCAATTATATTCCCTTGTTTTGGGGCATTTTCGATTGTGGTTGAAATTCTTTCCAGAATTCTCGTCGGATCTTTATCTTTTTTTCTCTTTTATGAAAAATCTACATTTAAGCTTCATTTTTTTATTTTTTATTTTTGTAAAATTAGAAGATATTGTTAAGGTGGTTGAGATCCGAAGACTTCCTCTAAATCATTTGGCGAGGTGAGGCCCTGAGCAAACTGCCAAGGGGCTGGACACTTTATTAAAAACGTTTTTTAAGGACATTATTTAATTTATTTGCCAATTCAATTATGTCTCATTAATCATTATGAATTAATGTTTATGGAAATATTATCATTGTTATTATTTAATATGTGTATATAAAGAGTTCATTTCTTAAATAATATATCAATGTCACATAAGTCAACTCATTATTTGAGATGAGAAATTTGAGTTATTATTTAAGAAGTCTAGTGTATGCTAATATTATTAACCATGATTTAATATGATTAGAAATTGTCGTGAACTTGTTACTTATGAATTGATTGTAATGTATTGAAAATTGTTGATGCAAAATTTACACCAATTAAAGCGTTCTAATTGGTCTTGATGGAATTAGAACTGATGTGCACGTGATTATGGATAACCTATAATATAGTGAATGTAATGACAATAATGTAAAGAATTCAAAAAGTTTTTAAAGTGGTTC